TGGCCAGAATGTAGTCACATAAACCCAGCTTTCAAAACTCTTATGGGGAATTTAGTTTTTTGTATGCCCAAAATACAAATGCGCTTGTGAGCATGATAGAACAGAAAATAAATTTCTTGAATGCAGGTGAAACTATCATTTATTTTTTTTCTTTTTTTCTTCATAAGGAAAGCAATGTTGCTCATCTGGACACTAATCCAGAGCTGACTACTTGGGATTAGATCACCGATTAGTGGGTATGTCCCTCAAGAAACTGATTCTTCCTCTCTCAGCAGACATCAGCTACCTGTAGCTCTTCATCCAGGGATGGGACCTATCCACGTTCACACGTCAACTGGTGTAGCCAGTATTGACACAGGAGGGAGGAGTTCGAGGGGAGGATGGTGGTGTGGAAATGTTATAAATATGGTACTTATGTATGAAATCCTCTAAATTATTTAAATTAAATTCGAAAAAAAGAATCAAACATTTTGCCTCTAAGGATTTCTTCCTCTAGTGCTGCTAATTGAACTTATGATGCCCAATGGTTAGCTCTCTCTCTCTCTCTGTCTGTCTCTCTGTCTCTCTCTCTCTCTCTCTCTCTGTCTCTCTCTCTCTCTGTCTGTCTCTCTCTGTCTGTCTCTGTCTCTCTCTCTGTCTCTCTGTCTCTCTCTCTCTCTGTCTCTCTCTCTCTCTCTCTCTCTCTCTCTCTCTCTGTCTCTCTCTCTCTCTCTCCTTCAGACAAGGTCTTGATATGTGCTCTTTGGTGGCCAGGAACTTATTATGTAGTCCAGGCTGGTATCATCCTACTGGCAGAAACCAGTATCATCAGAATTCTTTGTATTATTTTTTTTTATAGTCCAGATGTTATACCACTTAGCCTTCTTAGATAGGCATATACACGTACATGTATCTAATCTTATGCATGAATGACTTCTCTACCTATTCTAGAGCAGGGATGTTTAATTTAGGTCCATTAATTATGAGGTGCTTTATATATATGTATATATACATTTATATTTTATAGATATTTTTATTGTCAGTTGTACAATATAAATTATATTGATATAATGTTTATTATAGACTAGAATAATTTCTGGATATCTACTGTTATTAGGATATCTTACATACACTGTTTTTATAGTTTCTTTATAAATGAATTTATTCTTTGATATTCTTATATTAAATATATATAAATATTATATTCTGGTCATCCTCACCTTCCATTTTTTGTCCCCCTCTTTGCCACACCAATCCTTTCTTATCAAGAGGTTTCCATCCTACAATCATTTCTTTTGTTTGTCTTTTGCTTTTTACACACTGAGTTTAATTATAGCTTTCCGCATGAACATGGAGAAAATATTTCAATTAGAAAATAGGGAACTCACCAATGGTTAGATTACTGAAGATAATGCCTCTTGCTAGTTCCTATAATTTTAAATTCATTGTTTAACTCACAAAAATTTTTCTTTATAATAATTGGCTCCTTTGATTACTGAATTGATCTATCTCTCACTGATGACCTTGTTATAGAACATAATTGAACACTATAATTGGTCACTTGGCACCAGAACAGCACATGGAAATATTTTCTTTAGCAATAACTCCCAACGGACTAGTCAGGCTTATATGATTCCAGTACCACTGTCACTAGAAAGAGTTTCTATGATAGACCTGTTTTGTCCTGAGGTATTGGAGGAAACTCTGGATTTCAGTGAAACACATATGAAGAGACAGTTTATTTCCATGCAAGTAAGTATTATAATTAGTTAACTAAAGGAAATAGATCATAAATTATGATACAGAAAAAGAATAAAATAACATTTAATATAAACAATCCACCTTCCACTTCATAAAATACAGTGAGGTTTTCTTTCTGTGATTATACTTAATGGAAAGCTGAAGAGTCTTCAGATATCTCCTGCTTAAGGTTTATTTTTCCTAATTTTTTAAATTTAGTTTAATGCATACATGGTATCTGTGGCCTATATTCTCACCTGTAACTTGTAGAGACCATTTTTGTACTTAGAGCAGTTTGGTTAGAAACATTAGGAATTAATATTCTCATGATTATGTATTGTGTAAATGTTAGGATTATGCTGTGTATTTATGGTAAAACATATAACTGAAGAACTTTCTGGCAAGCCCAAAGTCTAATAGTACAGTCTGTGGATATAATAAGCTTTGAAAGGAGAGAGATAAGTAACTGTTTGAAACATTTACTTAAGAAATTCTGATAAAAGGAACTATTTGGTAAATAGGGAGGAATAATTTAGGAGGAGAAATTTTCATACTCCATCTCGAATCCAACATATATACAGCTAGCTTTACCCTGATCAAGGCCTGGCAACTAAATGCATTCAAGAATACATTAGTATGTGTTTTTCTGTCTACTTATCTACCCCATACATTTATATATCCATATTCATCAATGGTAATGTCGATGTTATACATGACTTTTCACTAATGCTTTTTTACAAGAAGCTTGAGAAGGAATGTTTTCAAGTTTAGTATGTGCTGCCTGAATGGTCCATTATCTTGTTTAGGTACTACTAATTGTATGTATAAAATGGAAGAAAATGTCTAGTGAAATGTTTAATTCACATAATTCCATAGGCAAGACTTGGCGTTTTATTCCTCTCTTCTCTATATGTTCAGATTTTTTTTCTTTTTGGCCTTACAAATTTGACCTCTACAAATTTAGATTGTGACTTAGTGTCTTTTATCTGCTATTAAGCAGCCTTCAATTAATTGTACTTGACAGCTGCTGTGAATTCATGAGTACACTGGCTATATCATATCCAGAAGACGAAATTTCATGACATTCCCCATCCATAAATTCTTACATCCTTTATACCCTTCTACAATGTTCTCTGAACGTTGGTGTTGTACAAATGTAGTCTATTTAGGACTGGACATCCAGCCTCTTAATCTTGGCACTTTGAGCAATTATACATCTATCCATTGGCTAGTAACTACAGCAGAATGAGACTTCCCAGACTAAGATGGATAGTACCCCAGTTCTATGATTATAAGCATAAATATTTAGATAACAATCTAAAATATGCCCATTTAGCAAGATAACACCAGTAAGTTCTACTCTAGGGCCAATGACTTCTGCAGCTATGAGCTTCTGACCAGGACTGTAATATAAGACATAGAATTCTATCCTGTGAAGCAGGCCTTAAATACAATCAGAGCATGGTTAACTATTCCTAAATAATAGGTATCACGACATTCAGGGTAATCCTGGGTAAGACCATTGATGTCTTTTTTCCTTCAGCAGTAGGCATAACACTTTATGGCACTGTCTAAATTACCCAAAAGGCAGGAAACTTCTGGGTTAACTTGAGGTAATTTTCTCTGTGTTTTGCAGCCACAGATTTTGGTGTCTTTAGCAATATCATCTTATTTTACTATGTGGTTATGGTAGCCAGTCAAGGGCAATGGCAATAGACTGTCAAGTTCAGGAGACCTCTTAGGGTTCCCTGACCAATGCCTTATAGGAAGACATCCCATGTCTCTGAACGTTGATTTTCATTTAATAACCTGTGTATTTGGGAATAATGTTGTCTTCCCATGCATGCTAATTTAATTCAAACACATTTAAAAAAAGATATATTGTGAAATTAGATTACTAACTAGCAACTAGTAAATTAACAAGACCACTAACTAGTGAGTTTTTGTAAGACTTAGTTTTATTTCTCCTACTCAAAGATCTTCCTCTTCCCTATTTCTTAAACTCCACAACATTTAATTATTTTTAATTACTTTATTTTATTTTTTCTTGAAAATAGATGCATTCTCTCATGCAATATATCCTGACCAATGTTTCCCTTCCCTTGACTCTTGCTACTCACCACCTCTCCTCTCCCCCATATCTACTCCCTCTCTGTTTTCCTTCAGTAAAGAGCAGTCCTCCAAAAGACAACAGCCAAGTAGGACAGAACAAGATAAAATAGGACAAGGCAAAAGCCCTCGTACCGAAGTTGGCCAACACAATAGGAGGAGAAGAATCTTTTTTAATTTAATTAATTTATTTATTTATTAAAGATTTCTGTCTCTTCCCCGCTACCGCCTCCCATTCCCCTCCCCCTCCCCCAATCAAATCCTCCTCCTTCGTCAGCCCAAAGAGCAATCAGAGTTCCCTGCCCTATGGGAAGTCCAAAGACCACCCACCTCCATCTAGGTCTAGTAAGGTGAGCATCTAAACTGCCTAGGCTCCCACAAAGCAAGTACGTGCAGCAGGATCAAAAACCCATTGCCATTGTTCTTGAGATCTTAGTAGTCCTCATTGTCTGCTAAGATCAGGCAAACAAGTCAGAGATACACCTGCTCCCAATGTTAGGGTTCTACAAAACCACCGAGCTAACAGCCATATTAAATATGCAGAGGATCTGGTTCAGATCCCAGCAGGCCTAATGCTTGCTGCTTCAGCCTCTGTGAGTCAATGTGATCTCTGCTTATCTGGTTCAGAGGGCCATGTTCTCCTCATGTTCCATCCTTTCTGAATCCTACAGTTTTTATTCCCCCTCTTCTGTGGGTTCCCCATTTCTGAGGCGAAGGACCTCATGGAGACTTCTGATTAGTCTCTCCGCATAATGCCTGGAGGTAGCTTTCTGCACCAGCTTTCATCTGCTACTGGAGAAAGCCTCTGTGATGACTGGACCAGGCACTGATCTATGAGTGTAGAATATCTTTAGGAATTTTTAATATCATTATTATTATTTTTATTGAGCTCTACATTTTTCTCTGTTCTCCTACCTCTTCCCTCCCCTTCAAACCTCTCCCAAGGTCCCCATGCTCCCAATTTACTCAGGAGATCTTGTCTTTTTCTACTTCCCATGTATATTAGATCTACGTATGTCTCTCTTAGGGTTCGCATTATTGTCTAGGTTCTCTGGGATTGTGATTTGTGGGCTGTTTTTTTTTTTTTTTTGACCAGTCATGTTTGGTACAACCCTAGGTCTCTGGGCTATCCAGGCTTTAGTCTCTGGTCATCCATGCAGTGTTGGCCATAGACTACCTCTTGTGGAATGGGCCTCAGGTTAAATCAGACATTGGTTGGCCATTACCACAAGTATTATGCCACCATTGCCCCCTAGAACATCTAGCAAGAATGACAGATTGTAGGTGAAGGTTTTTTTTTGACTGGGTTGGTGTCCATGTTTCTCTTTCCATAGCCTGTAGAGGACCTTCTCATGCCAGAAGACTAAAATGTAGAGGTGCAAGGTTCTTATCAAAAAAACATTTACTTTATTTTAAATAGTCTTTAATTTACTTTTGTCCTGCCCTAATTCAGTCTAATAAATGGTTATCCAATAAACTGTCTACCACTCTGTCGGAATCAACCCTAGTTCCTTGGGATAGACAAGCCTCAGACATTATGCATTCTGGAGTACACAATTAGATCATTATGCACCATATATGCAAGTGCCTGTGTGTGTTTATAGTATCCATGAAAAATAGTTAATAAACTTAATGCAGAAATGTGAATAAAGCCATTTAAAAGTATTTTATTTTTGCCTTTCAACAATTAAAGAAAAATATAGTATCATTATTTCCAGATATCACCATCAATTCTTTAATGTCTGAAGTCATCTATGGAGTCCTTTACTTTCTTCATAAAATTGAACTATCAATGTCTTATGATGTCCAAAGTAAAGAATAAAAGATTTGAAATAATAAAGATGGTATACAAATTCATAAAGATGGAGATATTAGTTTGGAAATGTAAGTGACATGAACTATTACATATTTAGTAACTGACTTCTGTGGGCAATGTGGGGCTAATTTGCAGTTCTTAGTTGTGGTACCCAATTCACTACACATACATCTCATAATGACTAACATTTATAAACCAAAAAAAACCCAAAAAAAGTGGTTTTACTTTCCAGTTTGTAGAATTATAAATAATAGAGAAAATACTTAGTGACATTTTAAGCCATAATTTAATCTTTTCACAGAAAGTACTGTAAATCCCCAACATCATGGATGAGAAAAATGTTACTGAGGTGAAGGAATTCATCCTTTTAGGATTCACGGGGGACTTAAAGTTACAGCGGGTACTCTTTTTCATCTTCCTCGTCATTTACGTCATCAGTCTCCTAGGGAATATCACCCTGATTTCTCTCATCTGTGGTGATTCTCAACTCCACACACCCATGTATTTCTTCATAGGAAACCTGTCATTCTTGGATCTCTGGTATTCTTCTGTCTATGCCCCCAAAATCCTGATAACATGCATCTCTGAAGACAAAAGCATCTCCTTTGCTGGATGCCTGGCTCAGTTCTTCTTCTCTGCTGGGTTGGCCTACAGTGAGTGTTACCTACTAGCTGCCATGGCTTACGATCGCTACGTGGCCATCTCCAACCCTTTACTTTACTCCCAGGCTATGTCCCCAAGGTTATGTGTCAGTCTTGTTGCAGCTTCTTACCTTGGTGGCTTTGTAAACTCCACCATTATCACCAGCGAGACATTCACCCTGAACTTCTGTGGAGACAATATCATTGACGACTTCTTCTGTGATCTGCCGCCTCTCGTGAAGTTGGCGTGTGATGTGAAGGAGAGCTACCAGGCTGTGCTGTATTTCATATTGGCCTCTAATGTCATCACTCCCACGTTGCTTATTTTGGCCTCCTACCTCTTCATCATCGCAGCCATCCTGAAGATCCGCACCACCCAGGGCCGTCTCAAGGCCTTCTCCACGTGTGGTTCTCACCTGACAGCTGTCACCTTGTACTATGGTTCAATTCTCTTCATCTACTCCCGGCCGAGCACGAGTTATGCCCTGGAAAGGGACAAAGTGGTGTCAGTGTTCTATACGGTAGTGATCCCAATGCTGAACCCCTTGATCTACAGTTTAAGAAACAAAGATGTCAAGGATGCCTTGAGGAAAATGTTAGATACAGCCAAGTTTTCATGAAGGAAAAAACTGTCTGAGCAATTATAAAATGTTTATCGTCATGCGATTTTTCTTAGCTGGTATGATCAGAAATAAGCATACTATGGATAGAAAAGTAACCTCTTACTGTGCAAACAGAAGTCTGTGTTTTCTATACATTGAATTATATTTCTTGCAAATGGTAAGATACTATTAAATTAAAAATGATTCCTTTCTGCACACATTAGCTTGTCTTTTTCTCCTTTTTATTTTATTTTAATAGTTACACAAATGTATAGAATAAATTGTGTTCATATTCAACATTTTTATGTCACAAATATATTTGTTTCTCATATCTATTTTTAATTCCTTTATTAATGTGTGTGTATGATGTGTGTATGTACGCGTGTGGTGGTGTGTGTCCATGCCAGCAGAACAGTTGCCATGGTGTGCAGCTGGAGGTCAATGAACAACCTCTGCTTCCACTCTTTCTTTAAAATATAGGCTTTGTATGCTGTTCACTGCTGTGTATGTCAGAATGTGAATATCCAGGAATCCTCCTCTTTCCTGTCTCTGCCCCTGAGCTCATCACAGGATCTCCAGTATGTGCAACATGTGCTTTGATTTATGTGAAATTTGAGAATTCAAATTTGTATCCTTTTGTACTCTCTGAACTTTCTCCCAAATCCTATCTGTAATTTAGTGATAACACTAAATACAGGGTCTCATTATGACATTTTCAAACAAAATTTGTTTTTGTTGGTTCTTTTTTTCTTTTCTCTTTAACCCTTTGCCACCTCTTGTGATCATCTCTGAAAACTCCTGTCCACCTTCATCCTTAGTTCTTTTCCTTCCTCAGTTTCTCTCCTACCTCTTTTTCTCCCGTTCTGGTTGCAAAGTTTATTCTCATGTGTGTGTGTGTGTGTGTGTGTTTGTGTTTGTGTGTGTGTGTGTGTGCGCAGGTGTGCACATAGAGCATAAAAATCTGAACTTCATATATAGAAGAACATGGAATATTTGTTTTTCTGAGATTAGATCACCTCACTTAAAATAATACTTTCCAGATTCATCTACTTTTGGCAGATTTCTTTTTTCCTTATACCTGAACAGCTGAATAGAATTTCACACACACACACACACACACACACACACACACACACACACACACACACACTGTTCCTTCATCAGCATATAGGCCGAATGAAGTTGAATCACTTATCAAAACTGTTACTTTTGCCATGTTGGAGTCGATTCGATAAGGACATTGGGTTTCTGAGAAGCTTTAATGTTTCAGAAGACATTTTGCAACTTGCCCTTACTCCAATATCTCAATGTGGAAATAGAAATTATACAAATGGTTATAGAATTATTAGCAGGGTTTGATGGATTCAATGGTTGATTTGAAGCCATTTCCATTGGTAAACAAACTGGAATTTAAATTCAGAACTGATAGCTGCAAAGTATGTACTTCACTTATTGAAAAGAAAAGTGGATAAAAAGTCATACTAGAAGGCTAGAAAGACGGCTCAACAGTTAAGAACACTGGTTTCTGTTCTAGGGGATCTAGGCCTTTAAGCATCTGTAACTTTAGTTCCAGGGGATATGGTTCTTCTTTCTGGCATCTTTGAGCAATAGGCATTCATGTGGTACACAAAGCACATCAAAACAACTCTTCATTATATCCATAGGTTTGTGAATCCAGTTTAAAAATCAGATATTTATACTCATATTTCCTTACAACAATGGCTTAAACGTAAAACTACCTAGCAACCTAATGATTATTAATGGTGTCTTAGTTAGGGTTTTAATTTCTGTGAAAAGACACCATGACCACAGCTTTTATAAAGGAAAACATTTAGTTGAGGCTAGCTTAGAGTTTCTGAGGTTTAGTCCATTATCATCATGGTGGTAATATATGGTGGAAAGCCGGCAGTCATGGTGCTGGAGAAGGTGGTGAAGGCCTTCCCACAGGGCAGGGTACCCTGCCCTCTCTTAAGGAGGGAGGGGGAAGGAGGAAGGGGAATGGGAGAGCGGGAGGGGAATGGCAGAGGGGGAGGAAGTATAAATTTTTGAATGAAAAAATAAAAAAAGAAGGTGGTGTAGGATGCGACGCACAACGCCTGTCTGTGCTCTATGCGCTACCATACAGTTCCCGAGCTTCGGGCAAGGGGCTGGAGGTTGAAACATACAGAGACACACAGTCAGAGAGACAGAGACACGGACCTCTAGTCACTGGTAAGAAGGCCTTTATTCAATAGCACCACTGAGGCTTATATACCCAATAGTCAAGTGGGCCAACAGGTAAAAACCTTATCCTCTGATCCTCAAGGCCAAGGCAACACGTGCTCATGAAGCAGAGCTGGTAAACAACTTTGACACAGCTTTTAGTAACTCAAATCAGAAGGAAAGTAAAGATCTCTAGCAGGGAAGAGCAGCTGGAGGCCAGAACTCCAAATGGTCCCAACAGTAGGAGGTCCTTCTGTCTCTGTGTTGCTTTCATTGGTTAATAAAGGAACTGCTTTGGGCCTATAGCAGAGCTGTACACAGAAGGCTGGGAGGAAGAAGGTGGTGGGAGAGATGCTATTGAGCTGCAGTCAGAGTCAGACATGCTGGAATTTGTTCGTTGGCCACGACCTCGTGGTCATATACAGATTAATAGAAATGGGTTAAATTAATATGTAAGAATTAGCCAATAAGAAGCTAGAGCTAATGGGGCAAGCAGTGATTATTGGATTATTTGTTTTCTTGATGTCTAGTTTTTTGAGTTCTTTATATATTTTGGAAAATCAATCCTCTGTTGGATGTGTGGTTGGTGAAGATCTTTACACATCTGTAAGCTGCTGTTTGTGCCTACTGACAATGTTCTTTGCCTTAAAAAAGACATTCATTTTCATGAGTTTCCATTTATTAATCATTGATCTTAGAATCTGTGCTGCTGGTATTCTATTCAGGAAGTAAGAACATTTTGAGTCCAATAAAATTCAAAACCACAACAAGTAGCTACAGACACTATGTCAAGTTTATTGGATCCAAATTTCTCATCCTAGCTAAATAAGAAGGTGAACCCCCCCCCCCAAAAAAAACCATCTAGGCATCCTCCTGAATATTAACCTTCATCAGGCGATGAAAGGAGACAGAGACAGAGACCCACATTGGAGCACCGGACTGAAATCTCAAGGTCCAAATCAGGAGCAGAAGGAGAGAGAGCACGATAAAGGAACTCAGGACCGCGAGGGGTGCACCCACACACTGAGAGAATGGGGATGTTCTATCGGGAACTCACCAAGGCCAGCTGGTCTGCGTCTGAAAAAGCCTGGGATAAAACCGGACTCGCTGAACATAGCGGACAATGAGGACTACTGAGAACCCAAGAACAATGGCAATGGGTTTTTGATCCTCGTGCACATACTGGCTTTGTGGGAGCCTAGGCAGTTTGGATGCTCACCTTACTAGACCTGGATGGAGGTGGGTGGTCCTTGGACTTCCCACAGGGCAGGGAACCCTGATTGCTCTTAGGGCTGACGAGGGAGGGGGACTTGATTGGGGGAGGGGGAGGGAAATGGGAGGCGGTGGCGGGGAGGAGGCAGAAATCTTTAATAAATAAATAAATACATTTAATTAAAAAAATTTCTCATCCTCCCTTTTCCCCTATTTCCTCTTAAAAATATTTTCCCCCTCTTTTTTGTTAAAATTAATTTTGACATTACATATTCATGTTCATATTCATTATTATTGAAGAATCTTTGATAGTATATGGAGAACAGAAATCAAGGTAAATTCCCTACCTGTCATCATTCTATAGGATATTTCTTTTACACATTCATGTTATTGAAGATGATAATTGGGTAGTTATTAGGAAGGAAAATAAAATGAACTCCAGTCATCTGAGAAAGTATTACACGCTTCCCTCTCTCGCAGTCAATTCCAGTTCTACACTTTAACAGCTTTTTCAATAATAGCACAAACCTAGTTCAATAATTAGATAAAAGTGTATATGAAGGGAACATGAGCAAAGTTCATTATATACAAACTTGAATATATTACAATTGAACTCATTATTTATTACACTTAAAAACAATTATATGTTAAAAAAACATGAAAAATTTTTGGTGGAATTTCAAGTAATAGAAAATTTATTTTTTATACTCAATTTTTTCAACCTGGCTCTCATTAGTTTGTTATCACTTAGTCTTTTGCTTGCTTGGTGCAGATAAACTTAGATGTCAGAAGGAGCTAACTTGAAGAGTTTTCTCAGCGCTTCCTTTACGTCTTTATTCCTTAGACTGTAGATCATAGGGTTCAACATGGGGAACAATACAGTATAAAAGGTCGATACCATTTTGTCCCTCTCTAAGGAGTAACTGGAGCTTGGGCGAGAGTAGATGTATAGAATGGAACCATAGTACAAGGTCACAGAGATGAGGTGTGAGGAGCAGGTGGAGAAGGCCTTGAGGCGGCCTTGGGTGGAGCGGATCCTCAGGATGGCAGCAATGATGAAGATGTAAGAGGCCAAGATGAGCAGGGTGGGAGTAATGACATTGGAGGCTAGGAGGAAGTACAGCACAGACTGGTAACTCTCCCTGACGTCGCATGCCAGCTTTATGAGAGGAGGTACATCACAGAAAAAGTCATCGATGATATTGTCACCACAGAAATCCAATGTGAATGTGTTGCTAGTTAATATAATTGCATTGACAAATCCTCCTGTATAGGAATATATAACCAAAGAGCTGCACACCTTCTTTGACATAGCTTGAGCATAAAGTAGGGGATTGGAGATGGCTGCATAGCGATCGTAAGCCATGGCAGCCAGGAGGTAACACTCACTATAGGCCAATCCAGCAGAGAAGAAGAACTGAGACAGACATCCAGCAAAGGAGATGCTTTTGTCTTCAGAGATGCAGGTCACTAGGATCTTTGGAGTGTAGACAGAGGAATACCAGAGATCCAGAAAGGACAGATTTCCAATGAAAAAATACATGGGTGTGTGGAGTCTGGAGTCATTGCAGATCAGTATGATGAGGGTAGTGTTTCCAAGCAATGTCA